ACGAACCGTAAAAACTTATGACTTGTCTGTTGGGCGCACACAGTCATATAGGTGGGTATGCTACCCCTATACCATCCCTTAGTTAAGGAGGGGAGGGGCGGAAACTGACCTGGGAGACGCGGCGAGGAGATCTATATCCGCTTTGTCTGCCTGGAACAGACCTTGGATGTTGTTGCACTTTGTTGTTTGTTTGTTTGTGCCGGTAATATTTCCTTAAATCGAGTAAACAAGTGGAGTTCAACAAAGCGGAAACGGAAGCACAATGCGTAGCTTTCGCACACACTGAAACACACGCGAGTATGAGTGTTGCTTGCTTCACATATAAGGAAAGAGGAGCTGGAGCTTCCCAAATGTGAGGGATATTGTCTCAAAATATGGCGGCAAATATATTTTCGCTCAGCTGCAACAACACACAACTGAGAAAAGCAGCTCTGCTCCTCGCTTAGACATATCTTTTTGTTTTTCTTGGAAATTGCTGTTAAAAATAACAAAAGCCCGTCGTGAGTTCCTCTTGCTTGCTTGCCAAGTTACATCCTTCCTTTCGCTGTTGTTTATCTTAGTTCCACCTCCATGGAGGAGCTCCACCATATCATCCTCACCCACCGTCAACCTCATTTACCCACTCAATTGAAATCGAGACACAAGGCGGCAATTGTATTTATTTGCACTGCTAAATGGCATAATCGAAGGCAACTCGGGTCAAGGACTGCCAAATGTTCCCGGGGCCATGGATTCCCCTTTGGATTTCCCTTTGGATTCCCCTTTGGATTCCCCAGATTCGACAGGCTTTGTTGTCGTGTTGTCTCAATTGCATTGGATCTTGACCCGGTTTTAACTTTCCATTACAGGCACTTTGGATTGACACGCTCTGGGGTTTATGTAAGCAAATCAGGGGATCTTAAGAAGAGCTTTAAAATTATCGATATTTTCGATATTTTGACAACATCGATTTGATAATATAGATGTTCTAAAGGGAAAACACTAATTAAATATCGAACAGAGCTTTTAAATTATTAGTATTTTCGATATTTTGACATTGATTTGTTAATAAAAATGTTTTGATGGGAAAACACAAATTAAATATCGAGAAATAGAAAAGTGTCGATATATTTTAAAGCTCAATTTTAAAGATAATTTATTTTTTATTTCATGATTTATTTACTTATATTCTTCAGAATTCCATACTGAAATTCTGCCAATGGATTCCTGGAAAATGCGAAATGTATTTACCTAACAATTATTATTTACTCTTGCTCTCCAATTAGTGATTATCAATAAGCAAATAGCATCTAAGATGGTTCTTAGCCCCGAAAATGGTTGACAGATTTTCCGCCTTCCATTTCTGGGGCAGCTTTTTCCCTTGAAGTTGACTAAGAAACCGACTGCAGGAATAACTTCAAAGTAATGTTAGGTAAAGTTAAAAAGGGAACATTTATTAAATTCCACTTAACTTCCTTCGCCGGTCTTTAGTCACTATACTTTACTCAGCTGCGGGGAGGGGGTGGAAATTCTCAGGGAAAAGAGCAGGGAAAGCTAACTAAGAAGTTTTGAGCTGCTGTTGATGTTTTCGCTGGCATATTTCTCGTGCCTTTTCATCTCTTCAAAACTGCCAACATAGCTGGCAAGTCGTCCTCCAAGGGGACGAAGTTCAAGAGCTTGCCAGCAATAACTTTGAATAGGAGAGAGACACATCGTTGTAGCTACCAAATTGTTTGTCATCAAATTATGTATATGGTCGATTGTTTTTGTAGGGCCAAAACCACGGCGACAGGGTGGAAAACAAAAAACGGGCATCATTAAAATGCTGTTACCGAGCCTTTGGCCTCCGGATTTTGGACTCTGGACTCTCGTTTGTGGACTCTGGACTTTGGGCAATGCCATGGCTTGACCCCGAAACTCTTCTGTGTCGACAGAGGGCAACCGCAACCAAGATTGTTCAGGCATATACCCTTTTTTAATTTGCAACATGTCATTGGCAGAAAGACAAGTAAAAGGGACGAAAGGGGGGTTATCCCCCTGCCCATGCCCCCGCCACGCCCCCCGCCAGCTCACGCTTTGTTGCGCCTTTTGTTGGCGGGCCTTCTCTTGGTTTTTCCCAACGCTCCTTTTTTGCGCTTTGGCCAAATAACCCAAGCAAAAACAGAATTAGCAGCAACGCCGACGACAGCGACGGGAAAAACACAAGATGAAGCGCAGGCAAAACAGGACACGGCCGAAATTCACGGCGAGGGGTGGTCTTAAAATCATGTAAAAACCATGAAGGGTAAAGAAATAATATGCCTATTTAAAGTATTAGTTAACTCTGAAAACAAATTGCACATATTATTTAAATTTAAATAGCTTGAGCTTGAAAGTTATCGATATTTTCAATATTTTCGCAATGTCGTTTCAAAAAAAAGGAAAATGTACTTATTTTTTCAAGCTCTAATATATTTTAAAACAGAATGTGTTTTAACCATCTTAATAAATTAAATAAAAGAAGGTTTACGTTAATCGTAAATTCTATTTATTATTATTTCTATCAACCAACTCACTTTTTCATACGCCAAAAAATATGCCCTGCTTATTTTACTAAGAATTTTAGCATCAAATTTAAGATTCTCCCAAATGGCAGACATCTGTATGATTTATTTGCCAAGTTTCCATTTTGTAATCAATACTCGAAAACAAATCTTTCAATCGACCTACGACGGTCACCGCAAAAACATATACAGTGTGATAGACGATGGGAAATGACCAAAAAAAAGAAAGGCAAGAGAGAAAGGTACGAGGTTTTGGGGAAAAACGAGAAAAAGGAAAAACAAAAGAAGGGAGGAAAAGGGAAGATTTGGGAGCAAGTGGGATAGCAGATACAATGTCATACAAATGACCCATATTAAATTTATTACGGCACCGGGAACAGCACAATGAAATTCAATAGCCAGAGGAGAAGAGAAAACCTAATGGCAGGCAAAACAAATCAGCAACGCCTAAACCGGCAGACTTATGTACATATAAGAAATATATATTGTGCTAAATATAGGAAGTGGTTACTTGAGGGGAAAAGGGGAATGCAAATCAGCTTAAAGTCGATTTTTTGGGTAAACTTTTTCTCTCACTTTTCCCTTTTTCGATTATATTTTGCTTCCGTTACGTTTTGCTTACTCCTGGTCGGCTTCCCAAATTGATTTATAATCCTGTCTCGAATTTCCCCCCTTTTTCTTCGGTTGTTTGGGAGTATTTTTAAAGAAACTTTTGTCTCATAGCTCACAGCACAACGCTCAGATTTTAATGAAATATTTCAATTACTTTGCGATTAATTGGGAAAACATTCTCCCCGCAGCATATTCAAGGTGAAGCGTCGCAGCATTTCGTGACACAGCATCGAATTTTCTTTTTGTTTACCTGCGACATGTGCACGAAGCCCATTATCCTGCAGCTAATTAAGAAACGTGAGACAAATGACAAGCGACCGAATAAAGTGTGGTGTGCGACATGTTCAAAAAAGAGACATGTACGAATAAAAATGAAAGACAGCACTACTTTCGTAAGATATTGATGAAATACTGGACCACGAGATTAGAAATACTCTGGTAAATAACAAATATTAATAGTATATTGGCAAAAAAAAGTTACAAATAAATTTCCCAGAATTACAAGACATTATTATAATAAGTTTTAAGTACTTTTGAAAGGCTCTTGGCAGAAATAAAATTTATTGTTGTTAGAAATGGATAAAAATAAAACTTGATTTTTATAATACTGTCAAAAATGTTATTAAATGGTATTTATAATAAAACGGATAAAAAGTTTTAATTTAATTGGAAAAACTTTTTTAAATCATTTATCAAAAATCTGAAAAACACAAAAATTAATTTAAGTATTTAATTACTTAGTTACAATTTAAAGTTGGAAAATTATTTTCTGTTTTTCTTCATATTATTTTCACAAATTTAAAGCTCAAGTGTCATATCCAAAAAACGAAATTCCCAACTTTATATCCCAATGTGAAGCAAAATAAAACACATAATCCGAGAAACACATACCCGGCAAATACATAAGTACAAACACACACAGAGACAGCGTGCTGGGCTTAAGACTGAAGCAAGAAATTTATTAATTATCAACTGGCCGAGACTGAGATTGTAGATATTCTGCCACTTTAGCCTCGAAGGGTCGAAGGAGATGGAGGAGGCGGTGCTCCATCCCGAATAAACACCCACCCAAACACACAGACAATCACAGCAAAGTCCTGATTGGCATTTAAAGCTCTTTAGGATAGCTCTCCAAGCCATCCATCGAATCGAAGGATCTTAAGGGGTGGGAAATGAGGGGGAGTGGAAAGGAATCGAGGAGGCTGACAGCAAAAATCGAAGTGGAGTGACTACATTGAGCCTCAGCTGAGCTGCTTAACACTGCCAGAGTTCTGACATAATCCATGCAATTGTAAATTTAATAAGGCCAACCGAAAAGGGGGCGAACGGGAGGCGTGGCACTTGGGATTTGTTGTCGTGGTGTTCTCGGCGGCAGTGAGACAGTGAGTCAAGCCAATTAAGCGATCCAAGGAGCTGTGGTCATGGGCTTTAAGAAATTAGCCAAGAAAACTCTCAAGTGCCCAAGTGCACTGGCATCGTCCTTGCGCTTTGAAAGCTAAGAGGTTGAAATCTTAAACCAATTCCCTTTATGCGGATTCCCTTAGTGCAGGAGCCAAGGAAAATAAGCCAAGCCGAATTTAAAAATCCTGAAGATTAAGTAAAATGAGTAGATTAAAAATATCACATGTCCTTTAAAGGTACATACAATATACACACAGATTTAAAAATTTATAACCTGTTCTGATTTTAGTTTAAGAAAACCACACATAAATGTTTTATCGAATCAATATTGTTAAAATATCGAAAGTATCGATAATTTTCGAGCTCTATATCAAATAGCAAAGTAGTTGTCGTTTGTTATTTCAAAGTGAAATAAGAAAGGAAAAAAGATTTATCAACAAAACTTAGTCACAATTACTACAAATATTCTTTCAAAAACCCTCTAATTTAGTTAAACTCTTTAAACACTCTTATATTATTATTAAGAACTGCACGATGAAATCAGAAGTCGTGAGTGCCGTATGTTTGAAGCTAGTAGAGTTCAGTGTGATGGACAATTCGGAGAAATCGGCTCGAAACTATGCTAATGATTTACTCTCAAATATGGAACTCTTTTGGCGCGGGAAACTGGTTGATGGGCTTCTCGTCTATCTGACAGTGCCAACGTTTTCTAAGGAGCCTCGCAAATGTGTAAAGTCCCTGAGAGTCTTTCACGAACTAACTACCCACTGCAGCGAATGGGATCTCAACTACCTGGCCATGAACACTAATATACTCCATTTGCTGAAGGAGCTCCTGGAAACACCAAATACAAGGGAGCTCATTATCCGCACTTCACTTTCCTTGATCAGCAACTTGATTCTGGCCGGTTGGCGTATACGTGATGCCATTATCGACAAGGGAATACTCAAGGCCCTCCTAAAGCTTATGAATCCCCATCGCAAGGAGCTGAACAAGTACAAGGCTCTTTTGGCTCAGATCATATGGTTGCTATACCAGTTGCTCAGGTACAAAGTTCCGGGTCCCAAGAAGAGTGCGATCATGGGAATAGCCGTTACTTTGAGTAAACTCCTAGTTCCCAATAGAGATGTGGACATACTGCTGCCCCTTTTGAGACTCGCCCGTTTGGTCTCCGAATATAACTCGGTTATGCTTCCTGTGATGATCCATTCGGGTCTCCTCAGTCGTGTGGCCCCCTTCGTCCTAAGTCCTCTGACAGAACTCAAGCGAGAGGCCATCTTCGTGTTGGCCAACTCCTGCATGCAGCCCTGCAAAAGGCGGAAACATCTACTGTATCGCTTTCCCAAGCGTATCATCCTCTATATCAACGACTTGTTCCTTTCGGGACCCGTGGAAATCCGAGTCATGATCCTTCAGCTGCTGGGCGGTATCATCGATAATAGGTGTATAAGAACGGGGATGATGCTGCGACTCATTCCCAAGGTCATTCAGTGTGCCAGTGGGCGGGAACAGGAGGCTGAGGTGCGAAGCGCAGCAGGATGGACCCTGGCCAGTTTGGCCATGCACTTGGAACCGAAAAACTTTCCCATTTTCATCCGATTCAGTGGCTATCATGTGCTCTGCCAGATGCTACATACCCAACTACCGGTTCAACTTTTACGAAATGTCCTGTGTGTTCTTCTGAAGCTCATCGAATGCTATCCCGCTATAAAGCCCTTTTTGATAAGTGTTATGTGGCAGTCGGATGTTTGGCCAATTCTAAAGAAGTTACTCGATAGTGGGAACGCTGCAGTCCGCACTTTGGCCACTTTGCTGGATCTTCATGGCGAGAGGGATGTGTGTTGGGTGGATGTTTTAGGTAATTAGGTGCGGGTTCTTTATTTAGATCTTCAAGTATTTGTTTTCTTACAAGTACAAAGAACTTTTCTAAATTTTGCTTTTAATACTTGGACTTCTTTTAAGTTCTTCTAAAAATAAAACACAATCTAAAGAACTTTTCTAAATTTTGCTTTTAATACTTGGACTTCTTTTAAGTTCTTCTAAAAATAAAACACAATCTAAAGAACTTTTCTTATTTTTGCATTTAATATTAAAATTTAACATCTTTTAAAATGAAAACAGATTTTTAATATTTTTATGAATATTATTGAGAAATGTGAGGACTCATTTTATGTTTTTTAATCTTTTAAATACCAAGAATATTTATAGATGTTGGCTTTTATATAAATATTGTAACAAGTTTAAAATCTCACAAAATTATTTCAACAAATTTATGACCGACCCAAAAATACCTGTTTAAATTAACTTTATTTATAAAGTTAGGGATAGAGAAAGCTTTTATATGTCACATTGCCCTAGTGTAAAGTAACCCTTATTAAAACGCTTTCGAATTTTCGTGTCAAACAACGCACACATTTTCAGTTTATTTTTGAGCTGCAAACGATTCAATTATTATTACACACGCTAATTGAATGGCTACCAATCTATGCTAATACATATATTATTTATGCATTTTTCCGAAATTTTGTTTTCCTTCCCATTGTTGTTGGTGTGGCATTTGTAGCGAGAGGAGAAAACCATAAAAGTTGCTCCGCTGCTGCCGTCGCTTTTACCATTTCAATTTGTTTGTTGATTTTTTTTTTGTGTGTTTCAGACTTTTTTTGTATTTTCGTTGCGGTTGTTGGGCGAATTTACATTTTCTTTTTTGCGCAAAAATTTCACAAACTAATTGTATGTAAATATGTCAAATGTGTGTCGTCAACACCTGCATACTTGTGTGCGTGTGTGTGGGTGTGGCAATGGGGTGTGTTTGTATTGCATATTGACAATTTCATAAATGCGGTAACATTTTCAATTAAATATGCGCAGCTCCGGCAAACACAGCTGCACAAATCGCCACACACACAAACGCATTTTTCTGCCACGCCCACACAGGAAAATACCGCCTCCCCCTCATACACCCCATCAATCCTGGGAAAGTCGATTGATGCGATATGTACAATGTACATATGTGCAGGTGTGCAGCTTTTTGGTCGGTTACAAATTGCAAATCAATCAATAAATAATTGAAATGAAAATCATTTTGCTGGTTTCAACTTATCTTCTGCAGACTCTTACTCTGCATTCGCCCCTATGCGTTTCGATTCGATTCGTTTCGATTCGGTTCGGTTTGGTTTGGATGGTTTGACTACGTATGCAAATGGGCAAAATTGTGTACATCTATCACTGGGATCGCATCAGAGCCCAAATCGAAATGGCCCAGACAGAACTGGGGAACTGGAACTGGTGACTGGGAACTGGGCGGAAAGGTGACAGACAGACCAGGAGCAGAGAATAAATTGCGAGTCCTTTGCCAGGTGTGTGAGATTAGAGATGAACTAAACTGTTCGCATATTTCTTATTGCGCACAGACGCAAAACGATACATTTATTGAAATGAAAAGCTTACGCATAGGACTTTGAATATTTAATGTATTTATGTTTTATAAATATTTATTTTCAATATAAAACTACAACTTTGAATTTTTAATGGAGTAAAATTTAGGAACTTTATTTTGAAACGAAAGAAATAAACATGTTTCTACATTCTACATTCAGAAATATTTTTTTAAGCTTATAAAATTTCATTTTGTCACATTTGGAATTTTTTTGCACTCAATCTAGAGTACAATTAACATTTTATGTATACACCAAAATATATTTTTAATTACAATTTTATTTTAAAATTTCATTCATTGATAAAGTTACATGAAATTACTTTTCTGTAAGTCTGTGAATTTCTTTAAAATAGTAACCTTTCGTAAGTAACATTTCGTTCTCTGTTTGCTTTAACCTTTGACTCACACAAATAGACTTCATCTTGTTATTTTCCAATAGATTTCCAATATCAGATAACTCACACATCTCTAAAATATTTGCGTTCTTGTTTAATTTTGATTGTCTTATGTTAAAGATTTGGCATTTTAATTGTATAACTAAAATAGTTATTTATTTTGTGCAAAAAGCAATTTCATAAAATTCATTCTGGCTTTTTATTTTATTGGAAATAATGCTGATAACCGATTTGGCGCCTTCCCAAGCCAAAATGTTTGTCATTTTCAATTTGAAATTCTGTCAAAATCTCTCTATACTGAGGAGAGGGGAGGGGTTTAAGTGGGTGGGGGTGGTGGGTTGCCACTTGGCTCAACTTGTGTGCCGGGGGAAAATTCGCTTAGCCAGCCACTCCAGTGAGCTGCTGCATCTACGGGTTAAATTTAATTTCCAAAAAGTTCCCATTTTGTTATTCCTTTTTGTTGTAGCTCGCTTATTTTTTTCCTATACATTTCTTTCATTTTTTTTTTGTTTTTCGCGACGCTTCGTTTTTGTCGTTATGCCAAAATCCCGCACAAATCCTTTGAGCCAGCACACGAACAGCTGCTTTTGGCCAGGGAGTCATATTGTTGTTGCCTCTATTCGGCGCTTTTGTTGTTTTAAGCGTTGCTGCTTTAGTTGCAGATTTACGCACCAACAAATCGTTGAATTTTATTTTTCAGCACTAGAATGGTAGTAAAAGACTGGGAAAAGGGCGCGACATTTTCAATTTCGCCTGTGCACTTTGGTCCATCGATCCGATCTTGATTGCATTTTGTAAATACAAACAGCAGTAGGCTAGACAAAAGGCATATACACATATGTATGGTGCAATATCCACCCGCTGCGGCGACAATTCAATCAATTTGGACACCTGTCAGCTAGGCTCAGGTGACAATTCTCAGCAGGTCTCCTCTCTCTACTTGTTTATTTGTCTTGGACTAACTTAAATATTTTAGCTCCGAAGCTGAGCTGACTGCTCATAATCAATTAATTTCTCTTGACAACAATACAGATTTTATGCTACATGAAGCTTTGAAAATATGCATGATTGATAAAGCATTAAAGTGCTAACTGATGGCTTTTATTTTTTGATTTTCAACTAGTAAACAAAAAATAAACATCATTCAGATTTGAAGCCAACAAGGCGAATAATTAATTTCTTAGGCTTTAAATAATTTAAATCGCTGAAATTTGTACACACATTTTTTAAAAATATTAAATAAAAATATTTGCTGTTATTTATTGCTTAATTATTTGTAGACTTTTAGAGGAAAATTATTCTTAGTTATTTTATACAAAATTGAAGTTTTTTTGCAAAGAATTAATTTGAAAACTAAATGTAAGTTTACGCAAAAGTATTAAATAATTTTATTAATAAAAGCCTCTGTCGCATGTCTAAAATATCTTAAATAAATATAAGTACAAATCTTGCTCAGTCATATTGCATTTTAGATCTAAATACTTGAGTGTCCTATTCCCATTCTTCATCATCGATAAAGTTCACTTGTCCGATTTTAATTACTTGCTTAAAATGGCCTATATACGTTAGTAATTTATTCTGTAGTAACCGTAATTTCAAGGACCTTTCATGAGGGCCCGAAACGTTTTTAATTTCTAAATAAACTTTGCGGCTGTGCAGGGATAGGCAATGGCGTGTTGGCAATGGCGTGTCAAGAGCAGGTTTCTGCCACCAGGAGCAGCAGGAGAAGCAGGAGGATCAGGAGTGGGAAAAGGAGCAGGAGCAAGAGCATCATCACACAGAGCCTTGCAATCTAAATAAAGCTGAAGCCGAAAAATAACCCCGAAAAACCCTTGAACCGAACTTTTGCCACTTTCCCATTTTCCATTTTCCCACTTGCAACGAGCGAGCGGCGCAAATGAAGTGCCACATGAGCGAATTGCGAGTGCGGGTGTAAAGGCAAGTGCATTTGAGCGAGTGCGAGGGCGAGTGTGATTGTGCAAGTGTTTTTATTAAAACCGAATGACAAAGTTTTCCCTCGAACAGAAGCTGCCGTTTCCACTGCTGCAGTTTTCCAACCAGCCAGCCAGCTAGGAAAAGAGAGCCCAAAACCCAACAACGTCAACAACAGCCAAAAGCTAATTTACACTTTTGTTGTTTCGGCTACTTTATAGACGGTGTGTATGTGTATGTGTAACGCCATAATGGAAAAACTATTTTGCGAGGAACAAATGTTGTCAAAAAATTTGTGAATGCTAAAAAACAGTCAAGTGACTGTGTGAAAGAAGGCGGGGAGCTGCGGTTCATGGAAAAAAGCGGAAAAATTATAAAAAAATGAAAAACGGAATGAAAAATAAAAAAAGAGGAAATCAAATGTGTGAACTTTAACACTATTTACCGCCCCAAAGAGTGTGTGCCGCGGAAAAAGTTTATTCATTTAGCTCAACGACGAAGCAGACGGCAACAGCCAGCCGCCAATCCAGTGCCACGCCCCCATTATTTTCAACTCCTTCCACTCGAGAATGTATAGAGCATTTCGAGCTCATTTTGCACACAAGTGGTCTCAATTTAAATTACGTATGCGCCGTGTAAGCTCATTAGACTTGATACTTTGATACGGATACCATACCAACATAGTCACAGTTTCGATATTCTCCTTTTTTCCTTTTTATCCAGCTCTTCTTTGTCGGGAAAAAAGGATACGTCTCAATTAAAATGCATTTTTATAACCTTCACATTTGCTTTTAACCTTAATTTTCACCTGGTTTAGTTAAAGGAAAATATCATTGAGAGCTTTTATTAACTTCTTGAATATTGGCCTCTGAAAACTTATCCTTAAAGTTTTCCAAAAATAAGATAAAATATCTTTTACTAATTGTATTACTTTTACTATTATTACTAGGTATACGAATAATACATTCGGAAGTATTAAAATTAAATTCGAATTACAAAATATTATTTATATTTTTAATACAAAACTTTAAAAGTTAAACTATTTTTTTTTTTTTTGTGAAAAAGTATTACTAGATTTACTGCTAATAATTCACAATATTCAT